GCCAGAGAAAGCAGAGGAGGACCTCTACTCCGTCAGAAAGACCAGGTTGCAGAAGGACCTGGCTACACTTGCAATCTCCGTCAATTATATAATAAAAATCACAATCACAATTTTCTCCCCCGTCATCACATGATTAATTTTAAAAATATTACACTTTTTCATCAAATTTGTACTAAAAAAATATTTGAATTACGTGCACTTTCTCCATTAAAATATTTTACGGAATATCTCCTCTAAATACATACTTTGCAATGAAGCATGATAACTCAATTAGTTGGCAATACTTTTTAGCTAAATTCTATGGCGCGTGCGTATTTTGTTACACGATACGCACGATTTCACACCTGTCAACGTTCGGCAACAACAAAATAAAGCTATTGTTCACCGTATCAACTAGTAACAATAGCAACAAAGTTGCCAAATATTTATCGAGGAGCTATTTTAGCAAGCTTCTCGTTGTCACGCTTCGATTTGTTGGCAAAATTTGCAAAGCATCAGTCAAATAGAATCTAAGTGGTCATGCACAAGCGTTAGTTTCGTAGATTTATTTAGCCTACTTTTCTCATTTACGTACACATGTACTAACACACTTTGGTGTTAGTTTCAAACACTTGGCGCGATAAAAGCTTTCATCTATCACACGACAGCTGTTGTCAACGTGTCAATTGTATCACCTGTCATTTACATGCACGCACTCTTACATACATACGGTATATGTATAGAATTAAAAAAATATGCTAATTGTGCGCGCACTTACCAAATATTTGCCTTTTGTAATAATCTTAAAGCGTGTTTCAAATAAATGCATTGTAAATGAAAATTCCAACCTATCTGAAAAAGTCAATATTGATATAACTGTAACTAACTTATAAATAACTTCGGTGTTTTCAAATTATTATTATTATTATTTATTTACAGCGCTTTTATAAATTTTTAGAGTTTATGTAATTGTCTAAGGCAGCTACCATTCTTCTTTTTGCTTATTGGCAAAATCAAAATTATCATTACTATACCATATATAAATACAGGTAATGATCAAAGCACTATTGAATTTTTTTTTTGTCTGAATAGCGCCTTCCCAAAAAAGTTGTTTTTTGAGAATGAAATTGAAATTACACTGGTCTTTGTGACGTGAACTTTTGTGATGATTTCTGTTAATGCCTCATTTACAATATACAAGTCTAATTATTATTTTTCCATCATGTGCAGTTACATTGTAAACTTTGCCCTAGAATTTTTGTTATATGTGTGCTTTGAATTTATCTGAAACGGACAGTCAATGGGGCGAATGTCATGGCATAGGTGAGCCGAAGCCGAAAACCACGTCAAAGCAGCTCAGAAATCAAGGATATGTAGACAGTTTTCTTCGATTATCGAGGTGTGGTGCAGTTCGAATTGCTTCCGACCGGCCAGACTGTCCACAAGGAATAGTATTTGAGTGATATGCGTCATTTGCGTCAAGCTAATCGTCAAAGGAATTTATGGGCCGCCAATCGACAATAAACGTTAATCGCAACGCGCATTGGAGGCTTTCGGAATAGATAGAATTGACTTTTTAAATAAACAAAATAAATTCTTAAAATTATGAAGAAAGTCTTACAACTCTTTACTCATAGTAGTTGTTAAGATTAAGTTTTTTACTACAACATCAGAAACTCTGGCCTGAGATGGGCAATTTTCATTCCTTCGCTAATATATGTACATATCTCATCAAATACGGACGATTTCAATAAAAGAAATCTTCTTTTTTTTTACAGCCATTACAGTTTTTTGTCTTCACAAATAAACAAAGCCCACTAAACTGATAAGCAGAACTGTTAAATTTACTTATAAACACTGAATATGTCAGAAGGTAACGGTTAATAAGACTACTTATGGAGAATTATTGAGTATATGCTCAATTTATTCGAAGATTTCATAATGTGCAAAACTGAGTGCATTGCTCATATTTTAAGTTTTTGACCGTAAGTCAATTTTTTTGTTTTAGTTTAACTTTTTTACAAATGTCATTTTTTTTAAGTACATAATAAGTAATTAATGCTGAAAATTTTGTTGAATTTGATTTAATATTGAGGAAGTTACAGATATTGCAACATAGAATTTTCAAACATGCACTCACTTTTGCTTGCCACTGTATATTCTACAGTAGACCAATTAATACGGTTCCAAGAAATGATTAGCTTCGTGGAGAGAAAAAGACATGTGGAAAATTTCAGATCGGCATATCGAAAACTGAAGCTAGTCCTTCAGATATATGTATGTATACAGATGGACATGACTTATCTACTCAGCTCAGTCATAATATGGCCTTCGACGTTGAATTCTGGGTATTATATTTTAGGGAAACTTAATATACCTTGTTCAAGGCATAAAAATAATAAAATATTGAATATATTTGTTAAATAAGCAAAACTGCAAAAGTTTTCAAAATTCATTTGTTTTTATAAAGTCAACAACAGCATTGTCAACACAATAATGTAAATCAGTACTTTATTGGAAAGTACTGAAAATAAGGCATCTTGTTATTTAAACTCCTTTTTAAAGTAATTTCCAACAATTAAATCTGAAAACATGGATGTGATGATTTGCAATGCTGATCGTTATATAAACTATGTAAATAATAGGTTGTCAAAAAAGTGTTGCGGTATTTTTTATTTATATTTTTTTATTTTATAACGGTTTGATGACTCATGCCTACCTATTGACCGATGCTACGGCTGCTACTATGCCGGTCTCTTTCGACCAATTCAGCGATTTTATCGCAATTTTCGACGACAGGCCTTCCGGAGCGTGGCGCATCTTCGACCACCTCTACACCAGAACGAAAACGTTGAAACCATCGTTGTGCGGTGGAAATGGAAACTGTATCGGGTCCATAAACTGCACAAATTTTATTGGCGGCTTGAGATGCATTTTTGCCTTTATCGTAGTAGTACTGTAAAATATGCGCATTTCCTCTTTATTTTGCGCGTTGAGCTTTCCAAAAAGGTATAGGTATATATATGACCCGATGCGACGAATAAAACTAAAACTACGCACTCTCAGCGCCAACTAGCGAAAATACCGCTGACAACCCAATAGTGATCCAACAATAGTGATCCTCGGTAGTATAGTGGTCAGTATCCCTGTCTGTCACGCGGGAGACTGGGGGTTCAATTCACCGTCGGGGCGGTATATAAATAAAGTACTTTTTATATAAGCCAAGCCACCACTGTTTTTTTGAGCTCAAAATAAAAAACAAGAAATTCGTTGGTTGCAAATGTCAATGAAAAGGAATGTGAATCATTTTTATTAATCTTCGAGGATCCTTCGAGGCAACGCCTACTTTTTTACCAGCTCTAAAAGTATATTGCAAAGCGTAACAATCCTACAATCTGCAAACCATCTTTTGTTTGGACTTAACTTGAAAATGTAAAAAACAAATCTGCAAAGTCGAGATTGAGCTGCAGAAATAATCGAATTCAAGTTGAACTAAGCTTGGCTTTGGCTTAGAACAAAATTGCATTGCCAAACGATAAGAAACCGAAAACGGTGTTATAAAACAATTGAGGGTTTCTTTAAAAAGTAGGTTTTAACATAATTAATAATGGTACATTCGGAGTGACAATTTCGCCGATCCTCGATAGTATAGTGGTCAGTATCCCCGCCTGTCACGCGGGAGACCGGGGTTCAATTCCCCGTCGGGGAGTTTTTAGAATTGATCCACATATTTTTACACATTTTATTACAAAAAATAAGAGCAGAGTTCGAAAAACGTATTTTAGAACGTTGTTTGAGTCTACATATATAATTACCCATTGTATATATTTCTTATTCCTTTGGAAATATTATATATTGGGTAGTCGAAAACATCTTTTCGTATTTCTAATCAGAATTTCAAAACAAAGCGAATTTCTTCATTATTTTCACTAATTTTTGAACAGTTGTAAATTTTTTTCAACTTCCCCGAACTTAATTTTTGTTCGGTTTCAACTTTCTCAACTTTCCAAAATTATATAATATGACACAATGTGGTTGGTAGCACTGCAAAGAATTTATTGACAATATGCGAAAAGACTTTTTCGACTACCAATATTTTTTATTGCTTTGAAAAATAAATATCATTAAAATTACTATATTGTTTCAAGAAATATAAAAATGAAGAAAATATTATCGCCAGTTGATTTACTCCCCGACGGGGAATTGAACCCCTGTCTCCCGCGTGACAGGCGGGGATACTAACCACTATACTATCGAGGATTGATGACGGTTTCAATTTTGCTGAGTATTTATGCGAGAACATTCGTCGTTGAGTAAGTTGTATAAGCTTCTCGTTTTACTTGAGTTCTTTCATTGTTTTATTATTTGAGTTAAATTTTGTGAATCACTTGTTACTTGAATGTTGTTGTTGTAAAAGCTTATATTATGTAAAGTACGCTATAAATGCGTAAGATAGATAAAAATATCAACACATGACGAAATTAGTAAAAATGAACACAGGCGAGTAACATTCGCATTCTTGAGTGATTTGTAGAATCATTTGATAATGCTATGTGCATAGTGCTTTTTATTAATATGTGATTATGCATATATACATATGTATGTACATATACGTATATATGACTAAATTTAAGTATTATTCTAGTCTAGAGGCTTTTCGATTTTTAATCAGAAAATATAAATATTTTTTTTAGTGAGGAGTCTCAAAAAATTGGCAGGTGATATAACTCTTCAAGCAATGTGAAACACAAAAAACACAAAAAGAAGTTATTAATCTAGTTTGGGGTTATGGATGGATTCCAGAAATAGACAAGTTCGTAAAAAGGTTTCTCTAAAAATTTCAGGTCAATCTGTTCAGTAGAACCTGAGAAATCGAAGAAACGAGAAAGTTTTAAAAAACAGTTTCGAAAAAGAGTGTTTAAAGTTTCAGTTCCGGCCGAGATAGTTTGAATGTTCGTTAGCAAAATACCTATTTCTCTAAAAATAATATTGAAAAAGCTCTTGTAGACATATTCATCAATAGTTGACTTTGAGAAAAATATATAATTTTTTATTTCTAGACCAGAATAAACCATAAAAAATGAGTTGCTTGGCCGGATTGGAATTCATCCGTTGTTCCATTTGTATACATATATTGCATATAACAAACTGATCAAATTTGACTCGGACTAACAACCTTTTCACATTTGTCAATCAATCTTTGTTATCGGCTTCATAATTGACCTAATTTTCATATGGAAATCAAAAATCACACGTATATAGAAAACGGTTGTACCAATATACGAAAATTTTTATCAATTCGGTTACACCTGGTCAAGAACATAAAGTTAGTTAGTTGGCTTGATTTTTTTATACACATAATATTCTGATCCACACACATGTTCAGTAACCTAATTCTACTAAAAAATTTTCCACATCCGTTGGCATTGTTATAGAGTTCTCAGTGCCTGAAAATGTGAATGTCATAGCATCATCTGCATAAATCGGTACATTATCTACAAGAACGCGACCCGCAACAATAAGATCCACCTGCTCCTTCAATTTGGTCATTTCATGGATTTGAGCACAAATAAATGTGCCATTACAGCCGTTTACGTCCACACAAATCTCATGACCATATTGAAAATTGTTCGAATCATCATCCATATACACCGAATAAAAGCCGTTCCATTCCCAATCGAAAAATACTGCAAGTGTAAAGTGATTGGCAGAAGTAAGATGTTAATATGTATATATGAAAATATATTAGATATCTACTATATTTAAAACTTACAATGATGCGGAATCTTATCCACAATATCGTCCAATCTCACCAGATAACTACAGCCTTTTTTGTCACATAAGTGCTCATAAGCGCTCTCCCATCTGGCTGCGCAAATGTTTAGACAAATCAGTAGCAGGATAGGTGATTTGAAAGCGACTTTTAATATTGACTTCATTTTTGTGGTAGCTTTTGTGCCTTCGATAACTTGTGCAAATTGTGAATATATTTCTAATAGCAATTGTGTTTGTTTTGTTGTTTTCTAGTGTTTGTATTTTTTTGTATTAATGTGATTGGATGTGGTTAAATAGGTATAGAGTTGCCAATTTTTTTATATACCATAAGTGCATATTATATTTATTTCCAAATCTGCTGCAATGCTTTTAAAAAGGTATACATATAATATAATAGTTTCTTATAAAATATCACTTACCAGTCACTTGATGTAGTCAATCAGTTGATCTCAGCTGTCAAATTGAACAATCAGCTGATATTTAGAATTCCAAATCACTTGTGATTTAAAAAAGACATATTTATGTACTGTAATCGGCTTTGAAAAATTTAAAAGCGTTTTTCTCGAAACGTTATTTTCAGCGTCGGTGAGGAAAATTTCTCCGAAACAGCAAGATCGATCGACATGAAAATTTTTCATAACCTTCTTAGATATATTTGTTAGGAAATGATAATTTTGATTTCTCAGTCACTCTGTAATGTAAAGTACACAAAGAGAGACTTTCTTCGAATCAACTTGCAAGAATCAAAGCCAGGGAAATACCTTAAGGTGCGAACTGTCAACCAGAGGATTGAAACCCAAGCAGATATATATACAGTGGGACTTCCCTAGCTCGAACCAGCATAATCCAAAATAAGACAAACTTCGGATTGAAGAGACTTCCAGTTATGGAAAGAAATTGGTATGAAATTTGACTACTCTTGCCAATTTAAGACTTCAAGTTATGGAAGTGCAACTGGCTCCCATATAATTGATCCGACTTTATCTATTTTTGTACTGCCATGTACTAATAAAATGTGCCCTGATGTTCATTAAGGTACCATCCCCAAACATATTTAGTAAAGGAGCCTGGATGTTATGTGTTTGTTATACGGAGACTAGGTAAAATTTTCGCCCAATTTTATACATGTTAGGCACAAAGGTACACTGTTATCAGTAAGATACGTTCTCTCGTTTTCATAAAGATAACTCTATTGGCCGATATATACGGTTAAAAGCCACCTGGATGTTCGAAAATCGTTGTGTTAGGTTTTTGATGCATAGACATACTATACCATTGTCAGGAAAAGTTTATTTCTGAATAACTTTTTTTTGGGCTATCGGATTTGAGATAATTTAAGCAGAAAACGCCTTTTATAGGAGTTCTCCTTGGAGATTGGCTAGAAAACAAACAAATTTTTCAAAATGAATTCTTTTTAACAAAAAAGTCATAAATAAGCAAGGATACAACCCCTTAAGTTAAGTGTATATTTCATTTTATTGCAGCAGAACTCCGAATTTAGCTATAAAGTACTTTTGAGAATTAAAATTATTAAATATTGGATGATAGATTAGGTTAGATTAATTTGGTAGGCTACGTATAGACCAGTTTTGTTTAATTTCGATTTCAGATAGAGTTCAGTTACTATGTCCATGAAGAGTAGTCATCCTTTAGAATGCCTAAGCTTGACGCAAAGTTCAGCAAACTCTGTGCCTCACTTCCTCTTCCACCAGTGCATAAGAGATTCTTAATGTTTCCCTGGTGGTTTGGTCTAGACATTTCCTGCAGTCTTCTCGATTTGTCAGTCCCATTCTGCGGACGTGTGTCGCCACCAGACAGTAACCAGTTAGTATTGTGATCATGTTGCTACAGAGCCTTCTATCGGGGTCGATCTACCGTTTTGTACATGACTTTTACAGTTTTGCAAACAGGCAGTTCGTTCCATTGGGTTTTGCTTTTCTTAACTATATTCGATGGTAACCCTGCTATATTTATGTTCGTTTCATATTAAACCGTTCTAAATTGCATTAAATAAATATAATATTATAATAAATAGTGATATTCAGATTTTATATGATATTTTGATGAGAGTCGATCAAAGCTTGCCATAAGTTCTCAAATGAAGCTGTAGGCTTAAGGAAAACTTAGTTATGTAAAGGTGGAGAACAATTTCCCATATTGAGTTTAGTGTAATGTATGTGAATAAGTTGAAATTTGTTGACTTATTTTTGAATGTGGTAATTCAAAAGAGTTACTTCTTAACAGTTTCGGTTAATTTGTTGTAATTTGGTATGGAGGATCTATCTAAATCAGTTTCTTGTGGATTATCTCAGCAATCATGGAAAGCATTCAGCAAATTCTGTGTTTTAACGCGGATTTCCAATACGAAAATTAAAATATTTACAAAACAATTTCATGTAGCTTTATTTATGCCATCAAAAGTATGCTTCTTGAAAGATTTGATACAGACCATAGTCTACATAACGGTAATACCAACGAATACCAACACACAGCATACTGTCGGTATTATATTTTAACGAAGCCTTATTACTTGCTTGGGGCAGTTAATATTTATAGTCTGAAGGTATTAATATGGAAGGAGGGAAGCTTTTCATTCTTGGTCTACAGTTCCACATTCCACTGCGCTTCGCGTTTCAGCTCTTAGTTCCGAAAGCTGAAACTTATGCTCCTAACTACACTACTAAAATACGCCACGTGATCAAATTTGACCCGGACTGATACATTGAAATTGCGTATGCAAATCGAATCGATCATTTTTTTTTCTGGCATGGTACGACCTATCTTATTTTCATGTAAATTTCGATATATAGTATATGTCAGTTAATGGTGTTGGCGGTTGTTTGCTTACGACACCAAAGATTTGTATGAAAACTTTTACCATGGAAAAACTTAAACAACGAGTACTTGAAAATTTGTGTTTCCAATAGAGTTACGACAACGGAAATGTTGAAAATGTTGCAGTAATATTTTCTGGAGTCTACTTTATCACGAATGACACAAAACATTTAGTGAAGGTCGTTAAGTCCCTGAAAATTTACCTCATGATGGTAGTGCATTTAACGCTGTTAATGACGAGAACATCGAAAGTGTTAAAGAAAAAGTCCTTGAAAATTAACTTGTTGGCACCGAGAGATAGCAGAGGAACTCAAAAATGGTTATGCATCGGCTCAACTCATTTAATAAATATTTTGGATATGGAGATTGTCAAAGCTAGTCTCGTTCTATTAGGCCTGAATCTGTTGCAAAAACGACGGCGGTTAAAACAAAATCACCAAAGCCGTTGTGTAACGATAGGAAACTGAAAACGAAATTATAAGACAAATTAAGGTTCCATAATTGTCTCTAATAGGTAGATTTTTATATAATTAATAATGGTACATTCAGAATTATTTTTTTACCAATCCTCGATAGTGTAGCGTTCAATTCCCCGTCGGTGAGTAAAGGCTTGGTAATCGTGTTTTAATTCACTATTTTCTCATAAAAAGATACTTGACAACGTACATAGTTGAGAACTCTATATTCAACAATCGCGTCATTACTGTTGACGAAACGTGCGTTTAGGAATATGACGTCAAAACTGTCTAACAATCTAGCAAGTGGCGCTATGAAAATGAGCTGAAACCATAAACAAAGCTCACTGATGTCGCTGAAGACCATCCCAGCTGAATTTTGTGTATAACAAATGTACGGAAAATTAGCATTAGTATGCCTGTATTGGCTCAAACCATACTATTCTGGAGGTGATATTAAAGATGTATACTAAAATACGTAAAATTTTAGTTTTTTTGTCAGTCCGTGTCTAATTTGATCAGCCTTTTTATTGTAAGTATATGTGAGGTAGACTGTAATTAAAAATATTTTCTACCACAAAATATTCCTATTACGTCCTTCTCTTTTCAAGACAGGAATATTTTTTTAATAAAATATAAAATGGAACCCGCAAATATATAATTTCATATTAATACTGTTTCGTTAAAAATTATCAGCGAGTTCGTGTGAGAGTGTTTCGTTTTCACTTAACTACACATTTTCCACAAATATCGACTATTGGTAACTTTCCATTTGTGGCGCAATAGTTTTTATCATTTTGTGGTTTCAGCTATAACGGTTAACCGCCTAACACGCATGCAGCGAGAAAAAATAAATAAAAGCTACAAATAGAATAGTGGCATCAAAATAGCGATGGTGGCGCAATAATGCGAAAATATGTATTTGCATATATAAACATTAGGGTGAATTAAAAAAAATCCAAATATTTTTTTCTTTTGATATTCATAAAAATATGTTCTCAGACACCTCTACTCATAATCCTGTGTATTAATGAATAATAATTTTTTCGAGAAATCGCCAAAAATCAATGAAAAAGTAATAATAAATAATAAAAAAAATTAGTAAGGAAGTATTAAGTTCAGGTATCATGGAACATTTCATACCCTAGCAACTTGTAGGGTTAAAGCCAGGGAAGTATCTTCAGGTACATAAAGTAAAGAGAACAAATGGTTTTTTCAGCAAAATCAATTTATTTTATTCAAAATAGTCTCCTTCTGCTTCAATACAGCCTTTTGCTTGTTCCATGGTATGTCGAAGGAGTCTTTTTAGCTCGTTGGCCGGTATGACTGCCAGTATGCCGGTGCAAGCCTTTTGAATGGCCTCTAGGTCTGCATAATGCTTTCCTTTCATGGGTAAATGCATTTCTCTGAAAAGGAAGAAGTCGCAGGGCTACAAATCAGGTGAATACGGGGAGTGGTTAATGGTTAAAATGTGATTTTGGTCAAATAATCGGTCACAAGCGTCGATCGATGAGAGCTTTTTTTGGTCGTCAGTCAATGTGTGCGGAACAAATAGTGCACACACCCTTCGTAATCCCAAATGTTCGGTCAAAAAGCGATAAATCGATGTTTTGGAGATGTTCAATTCTATTTCCATCAATTTAAATGATGATTTCGGCTGAGTTTTGATGAATTCACGCACAGTTTCCATGGAGGTTCCGGCGATCACGGATTTTGATTGGCCCACATGTTGATCGTCATTTATGACTTCACGACCATTTTGAAAATGTTGAAACCACGCGTGCACTCTGCTACGACATAGGAAATCATCGCCATAAACTTGTTTCATGAATTGAAACGTTTCGGTAAAATTTTTATCAATTTTAAAACTAAATTTAATGTTGGCTCTTT